ACAATTTGCTTACCTTAATTTCAAAATGTGAAATTTCCTAAAAAAAATAAGAAAAAGAAAGGAAAATGGTTCCAAGATGAGAAATACCTAAAAAAATTAAGAAAAAGAAAGGAAAATGGTAAATTTTCACCAAAAAATCATTAACGATTTACTTACATTAATTCAAGATAAAAAATTTCTTAAAAAAATGAGAAAAAGAAAGGAAATTGGTAAATTTTCACCTAAAAAGTTACTAACAATTTGCTTATCTCAAAAAATTTCCTAAAAAAAAAAATAAAAAAAAGAAATTGGTAAATTTTCACCCAAAAAGTCACTAACGATTTGCTTACCTTTATTTCAAGATGAGAATTTCCTAAAAAAAATAAGAAAAAAGAAAAGGAAAATAATAATTTTCACAAAAAAACCACCAACAATTTGCTTACCTTAAGAAATTTCCTAAAAAAAATAAGAAAAAGTAAAGAAAATAATAATTTTCACCGAAAAATCACCAACGATTTGCTTACCTTAAGAAATTTCCTAAAAAAAAATAAGAAAAAGTAAAGAAAATGGTAAATTTTCATCCAAAAAGTCACCAACGATTTGCTTACTTTGCTTACCTTAATTTCAAGATGAGAATTTTCTAAAAAAAATAAGAAAAAAGAAAAGGAAAATAATAATTTTCACTAAAAAACCACCAACGATTTGTTTACCTTAAGAAATTTCTTAAAAAAAAATAAGAAAAAGTAAAGAAAATGGTAAATTTTTACCCAAAAAGTCATCAACAATTTGCTTACCTTAAGAAATTCCCTAAAAAAGTAAGAAAAAAGTAAAGAAAATGGTAAATTTTCACCTAAAAAGTCACCAATGATTTGCTTACCTTAATTACAAGATGAGAAATTTTCTAAAAAAAAAGAAAAAGAAGGGAAAATCTATCTAAAAGTCACTTCTGATTTACATTTCTTATTTTCAAAAATGAGAAATTTTTTAAAAAAACAAGAAATCTAAAATAAAAAATCCGTCCAAAACTTGCTTCTGATTTACTTATCTTATTTTCAAAAATGAGAATTTTCCTACAAAAACAAGAAAAAGAAAGGAAAATCCACCTAAAACTTGCTTCTGATTTATTTATCTTATTTCCAAATGAGAATTTTCCTAAAAAAATGGTAAAAATCTTCAAGATAAGAAAAAAAATACAGAAAAAAAGAAAGGAAAAGGGTTAAAAAAAGGAAATTTTTTTTTCAGATTAATCCAAAAGTTTTCTAGCCAATTGAATGATTTTTGTATTATCCAATTGAAACATCATTTCTATTGAATGATTTGTATTGTCCCTTAAGGGATGATGATTTGATCGTTCCAATCAGATCATCCGATTAGAACGATGATGTTGATTTGAATGATAGTGTATCGTCCAAAGGGATGATAGTTTGATCGTTCTAATCGAATGATTTTGTATCATCCGATTGGAACGATATTGAATTGTTCAAATTGAATAATCATCGTTGCAAAAGGAATGATTTTTTATCGTTCAAATCGAACAATCATCATTGCAAAAGGAACAATTTTTTATCGTTTAAATCAAACAATAATTGTTCCAAAAGGAACGATATTGAATCATTCTTAATGAACGATAATCGTTCTAAAAGGAATGATGTTGAATCGTTCAATTAGAATGATTTTTTATCGTTCAAATCGAACGATCATCATTGTAAAAGGAATGATTTTTTATCATTCAAATCGAATGATAATTGTTCTAAAAGGAATGATATTGAATCATTCTTAATGAATAATAATTATTCCTTTTGGAACGATATTGAATCGTTCTTAATGAACGATGATCTATCGTCCCTTTGGGATGATTTTTTAAATTGTTCAATAAGAACAATGATCTATCGTTCCTTTGGGATGATTTTTTAAATCGTTCAATAAGAACAATGATTTATCATCCCAAAAGGACAATATTTTAATCATTCTTAATGAACGATAATGTATCATCCCTTTAGGACAATTTTTTAATCGTTCTTAATGAACGATAATGTATCATCCTTTTAGGACGATTTTTTGATCGTTCAATAATAATGATGATCTATCATCGCTTTAGGACGATTTTTAATCATTCTTATTGAAACGATAGATCTATCATCCCAAAGAGACGATTTTTTTAAATCATTCTTCTTGAACAATAATGTATCATCCCAAAAGGAATGATTATCTTTATCGTTTCTTAGAAATGATTTGTATTTTCTCTTAAGAATAATTTCTATTGTTCCTTTAGAATGAAGTTTCCAATCAGATGATTTTTGCATTATCTGATTGAATCAATCGGAATTGAAATTTTGGCTTAACTCCAATTGACCATAAATCACAGGTTGATTTAGGTTGATTTTTGGCTGATTGATGATTATGTCTGATTGACAGACGATTGATGGATGATTTATCACATGTCTGATTTTTTTGATTTCGACCAGTGTATTTCTTACCATGATCATATACAAGATTATATGATAAAAGATTCTTCTGATAATGAGATTTTAATAGATAGATTAATGATATACAGTTACAATGACTGGCTGATAGAGAAAAGGAATAATCATCATATATAAAATGCAATTCTTATTGACTTCATCAAAAACAATTTGAAAAGCGTAAAAGATTATATGAAGGTTCTTCAAATTGTAAATGATCAACAACTAATATAAGAGTATTTATTCAACTATATAATTCTCATTATTGCGAACTGGCCTGATCAGTTATTTATTCGAAAAGCTATTACACATTGACTTCTCCTTAATGACAAAACTATTTCTTTATTTGTCCTGCCTATTATAGACCCTCTTCATGTATCCTTAAATTCCCTCGAGTTTGTTTTTGTAAAAAATTCATTTTATTTAACGATTTTTACAAAACATATTCAAAACACGTATGAAAGGCCACAACTATGGAGAATTGATCTAATTCTTTATATTGTGTACTGTCACCAGGAATAATCTTCTCTACTTATTTCACGTAATATATCTAAGTTCCTTTACTGCAGTAAGTAACTTCCTTATCATCAGACTTTATAACCTTAGGGAATCTTACGTCCTACAGGTATCTGGGATGCCTTAGAATTACTTCACTTGGTTTACGAACTTAAGGGTTTAAGGACTTAGGAAATTTAGAGAATTTATATATTCTAAGTGATAAACTCAATCGCAAGTTAGTGTAGTAGTTCACGATTAAATCCTAGATGATAGACACGTAGAAGGGAAAAGTATTTTGTTTTAAAAGTTGATTTCTTTATTTATTACTTGAAATTTACGAGTATGTTTGAATTTACAAAAGAGTTCTTTTTGAACTTACAAGAGAGTTATTTTACAACATGAGCAAAAAGCTATTCTATTTATATAAAATTAATTTGCTACGACTAACTAATTGCTACACTATAAACTAACTAAATTTGTAATTACAAGTGTTAATATAATAATGATAATAATTATAAGAATAATAATAAGTATAATAAAAATAATAAAAATAATGATAATAATTAAAATAATGGAAATATAGAGAATTAGAAGAATCATAATAATCTGATGAATCCAGTAAATCCTAAGAATCCTACGAATCCCCAGAATCCTGTAGATCCTAAGAATCATCAAAATCTGGAATTATGCAGATCTTCTAATTTGTGATTGACATAAAATTAATTCCAGTAACTTCTGTAGATTATTTAATAATTCTTTGTAGATCATCTTTTCAATAGTGAATTTTTAGCTGGTAACAGTGCATAGCATATTTTGATATTGTTAATACTGTTATTTGAAGTTCAGTAGAATATAGAATTTTTATATCTAATCGATTTACTAAGCAATTTGATTCCTTTAGTTCTCGATATCTACACAGTGTATCATCGAAAGAGAAGTTGGCTGGCCTATAAAGAATCTTATATGTGTTATTGAAGTGATCTATTCCTTCGATTTGATCGAAGGAATTACAAATGTACTCTATTAATGTTTTTTTCAGATATTTTCCATTGGATGGAGATTAATTATCCAATGAAAGATATGTTTACTAATCATCTTGCTTCACTTAGTGATTGCTCTGTAGAAATTGCTCATAGTATTATCTGATGATATATAGCTAAATTTTTCACATCTGAATAATTGCAGAAAGAGACACGCTTTATTTTTCAACATCGACAGGATAATAATTTTGACAGCATTTTGTAAATTCTGTAAAATATCCATATCAACTAAAGCAATTATGAATGCTTTCTTAAAAATGCGTGATATTGCTTTTAGACACATTTATGAAGATATATCACACGCGTCATCAGTATCCTTTCATTAAATTTTTATCTAAAAATGGTATTAACACCTGCAAATTGCCTTCATTAGGTTATGAAATAACCAATCATCATTTTCTAAGAGGCTTTGTCACTTTTAGAAAACTAAATACAGCTATTTTATGTGACTATATGCATTGTAATTCAATTGACGTTTTGCTTATTGGTAGCGTTCTAACATGTGGGCATGGTTACTATAGTTTATGATTACAAAGATGCTAGTTTAAATGTTTAATATATATGGATTACCTTCAGAGCAAAGTTAAGAAAAATGTTGATGCTCAAATGACAAATTTTTGAAAACAAAATTAAGTTCAGAAGAATTCATTCAAGATAGTTGAAACTGAAATCAAAAATGATTTGGATAATGCGGATAAGACAACAGATGATGGTATAGTAATAGAAGATTTGTTAGAAAGTGCAAAGAAATCATTTATGGAATTATAATTTTTATTTTTTTATTTTTAAATAAAGTTAATTAATCTTATAAGATTGGGCGTCTTATTTAATTATGTGTTTGTGATATAATTTTCTGATTTATGTAACTCACATTAGTTATAATAGTATTTTTTATTCAGTATCATGTGATAGAATTTATGATTTTGATTAGCTGACAAATCAGAAAATTTGTGTAATATGAAACGATCTCCCTTGGAGATAATCATATCTTTTCAAAATTTGAAATTCACTATTCTCAAAAATGATGATAATTGAAATGGTCAAAAAAGAATTTAAAAAGACAAAGAAGAAATTAGAGAGGTTTGAGAAAAGAAAATATGAGTTAGAATGTAAGTTGGATAACAAAAAGTATGGGATAAAAAAGGTGAGAGGATAAAATAGAGGAGTTGAAGATAACAATAGAGAAGTAGAAGGATGAAGCATTAAAATGGGAAGAGATATTATGAGGTATGAACAAATAGTATGTGATACTATACAAAAATTATTCTATCTACTTTATTTTTTTATGAGTATTTTGTATATCATAACTTAACTTGTACTTTATTATTTTATTTATACATTACAGCAGGTAAATTGTAAAGTTAAGAAATTATCTATCCATTTCTTTTCATTATCACAGAATAAATTTGACTAATAATCCTTTAAAATTTCTCAAAGAATTTCTTCAATCTTCTCCTTATAAAAGATTATATTTAGACGAAAATACACATCTTATTAAATTCTGGAAGGAGATTCAAAATGTTGAAATTGATAAAAAAATAATATCTTTAATGGAAGGCACCTACTTATTAGGTAAATCAAAACAAGAATTAAATCTTTTTATCCATCAATATTATATTGATCTCTACAAGGTTTTTGATAGTGATGATGTAAATTTTTGTATTTCAGAAACTCCTGGAATTGGAAAAACATTCTTTGGCTACTACTTGCTTATCCAATTAATAAAAAAAGGAAAAGTGTAATGCATAATCAAGTCAATCAGACTTCTTTTTTCTTTCATTAAGGAAATATCATCAGAAAGTTAAGTGATTTTTGTGCATTACAAATGTTATGCTAGTTCTTTAAAATGCTCAACTTAATAAGCATTATATTTATGTGTGCAGAAAGTTTCCTTCGTAAAGAAGATAAAGAACTTAATTATAATTTTATAAGTGTAAAGAAAATATAATAATTCGCATAGAATAAATGATTAACAAACAAAATTATAGTACTGCCTCTGTCGACGCGTCTGTACTAAACAGTTTATTTATTAAAGGATTCAAAACTACTAAAACTAATATAAGACAAAACTAAAATGATCTATCGATACTTAATCCTAAGTTACTCCTATTTATATA